AACCCAAGGAGGGGTCGCTATGAGTCGGGGCCGACTCGATGGCAAATAACAACAAACAACAACAATAGAATATTAGGATCTGAACAAAGAAGAAATGTTCAAATTAAATTAAGCTGAAGCCAAATAATCTATTCTTGATAGCCAGATAAAAATTTGTCTTTCAACAGTTTCATTATGGTATGGTGTGATTAATAAATATATTTAAAATTTTCAATTATCATGACAGAGAAGGATGGGCATGTTTCTAGAAAAGATAAAAGAACACTTTGGAAACTAATTTGACTAGAGAAACTCCGAGGTTAATTCCTACTTCTTCCTTTTAAAATTATTTTCCAGTATTTGTTTTGTAGCTTCTAATTAATAAGACAAATGTGAGACTATTTCTAGGGATTAAAAAAGAAATGTGGTGGTATTGTACTTTTCCTCAGCTCCAACCCTGAGAACAAAAGTGAAGATGAATAACAATGCTATTGCTCCCTCATAGGGATGATGTATTTCGAATGTGGGGCTGCTTCCAAGATGTTATTAAAGTTCTCTGAAGCGTTGCTGCTAAGAAAAAAAAAATGTCTAAAGAACTCGTTATTTATATTGTATCTTGAAATTTATTGCTACTTCAGGTTGTACTAAACTAACCAATCCATTTTATTTTAGAAGTCACTCGGAACAGCAAAATAATGTGATAAGTGAACATTAAGGATATTAGTAGACACAAGTAATAAAAATTTTATTTTAAAACTTTGTTGTTGTTGCTATGTGCCATCGAGTCGGATCCAACTCATAGTGACCCTTCCTTTGGTTTCTGATGTGATATCTCTACGGAAGTAGCTTGCCCAGTGTTCCTTCCAAGGAGTAGATGGTGGGTTTGAACCACGAGCCTTCTGGTTAGCAGTCAAATGCCTTAGGCACTACACAGCTTTGCAAATCCTATGGGGCAGTTTTACTCTGTCCTATAGGATCACTATGAGTTGGAATTGACTCAACAGCAATGGGATTTTTCCAGATTAAGACAGACTAGGAAGAAAGTCCTGGTGACCTACTTGCAAAAATTAGTCGTTGGAAATCCCATGGATCACAATAGAATATTGTCTGATATAATAATGGAAGATGGGCCTCCTAGGTTAGAAAATCCAAAAATCAAAATCACTACCATCAAGTAGATTCCAAATCATAGAGCAAAAATGGCTTTGTGGTGCTCAGAGGATGACCATGCAAAATAGTAGACATGTCAGCTTCCAAAATTGGAAAGCATGGTCATGCCAACGTTTGCCTTGCTGGAATCGATATTTTCACAGGCAAAAAATATAAAGATGCTTGCCCTTTTACTCATAACATGGATGTTCCAAATATTAAGAGAAATGACTACCAACTGATATGCCTTCAGGATGGTTACCTTTCCCTGCTGACAAAAACTGGTCAAGTTTGTAAGGATCATAAGTTGAGACAAGGTGACCTAGGCAAAGAGATAGAAGGAATATACAGTGCAGGCAGGTGTCTGTCATATGTGCAATGAGTGAAGAATATGCTGTAGCCATAAAGCCCTACAAATAAACGGAAGAATCAGGCATGACCAAATTGTTTAGATCCGGATCAGCTGCAGATCTAAAATTTGGTTCTAAGTTGTAGCCAAAGCTATGGCCTTCATTAGCAGCTTCAGTTATTTTCAATTGTTTTGAAATTATGCTGAGTTAGTTTTGCATGGAATTAGAAATTTAAAAAAATAATCAAGTTGAGTAACTCTGTTCTTTTAATTCCATGGGTATCTTTTCCATAATATTCCTGTGGTTTGAGTATGTGAGTCCAAGAAAAAGACAAGATAGCTTTAGTAGATGTGCTTTATCTGAGCAAATCATTCCTGAATTTTTGTTAAATGATAAACCAGGCTTTTAAAGAAAACAATGTAGCATCTAGTGTTATTGAAGTACCACATATAAATTGAATTGTTATATGTTAATTTCAGACAATACCACAGAATAAGCATATTTGTGGATTGGGGGAAAAGAAACTATAAACTTAGAATTTGATGACATATTAAATCAAAAATGTTATTCATCTGGTTATGACTGCATGTCACAACTTTATAGGTTTAGTTTCAATTTGGCACAGCTATAGGAGCTCTGGTGGTGTAGTGCCTAAGGCATTTGACTGCTAGCCAGGAGGCTGGCAGTTCAAACCCACCAGCCAGTCCTGGGAAAGAAGGTTGGGCAATCTACTTCCATGATGATACTACCTCGGAAACCCAAGGAGGGGTGTCTATGAGTCAGATCCGACTCGATGGCAGTGAGTTTGATTTTGGTTTATAGCTTTCAAATGTCTCATCTGAGAAATCCAAGTGAGTAAGCAGAAATGTAAATATAAGGATTTGAAGATTACTGCCTATACTCTAGCTAAAAATCTTGCCTATTTTTATATCTTTAAATTACCAATAACATGATTAAATTGTAATTGCATCTTCTCAATATGCAGTTCTTTATAATTGGAATTGTCAGGGGGCCTTGCATTTCAGTCATCATTTCATAATGTCTATTTCTTATTTTGGTATACAAATTAAACAGAATTACAAGCCAGGTGAAATATATGGGGGAGGAAATCTGAAGCAGTAACTTTAAACTGAATATTTTTTTTTCCTTCAATCTACAAAATACATTAAGCAACTGACATTGGTAATAAAATACTATAGTTCAGGTACATTTTCAAAAACACTAACTTCAAAAATCTAAAGGCCCAAAATGCTTTAAACCCTCCTAGCTAAATATCATACTTTTATAAAATAGAACTAACAGCTTTAATATTCCCTAAATTAAAAAAGAACATTTGCAGTTTTAAAGTTACTAAAAATATGAACAAAAATATACATTTATCAAGTTTCTTCAGCTGTAAAAGGCTTAATATGAGTAGCAATTATTGAAATAAATATGTATATATAATATATATACATATGAAAAATACTATTTAAAACATCATTGTGTGATCAAATAGCAATAATAATAATTTGCTCAGACTAAAATACACTAATATGTTAAACTGAAATCTATAGATTTATCTTCAGATGTTTTTTAACCATTGAACTTATATGATAAAGACATTACTGAATGATTTTCCTAAGTCACCTGTTTCAGTCATACTGAATAAATATGTATCATTCCACCTTTCTCAAATACTTTGTTTAAGAATTTCCATAGAACTTCAAAATTATAAAAATTAATCAATGATAAAGTTAACTCAAAAAAAACCTCACTGTCATCGAGTTGGATTCACTCATAGCAACCCCTCCTTGGGTTCCTGAGGCGATATCACTACGAATGTAGATTGCCTAATCTTCCTTCCAAGAAGTTAGTGCTGTATAAAATCCTCAGAAATGTCTTTGGCTCTGCTTTCAGGAGGTTATTTCCTCATTTATTTATTTTAATTTAATTTATTTATTTATTTTGGTTTCATATAATATTTTTATTTACTTAATTTATTTTTGCTGGTGGTTCAAACCCACCAGTCACTCCTCGGAAGGAAGATGGGGCGATCTACTTCTGTAGTGACACTGCCTCAGAAACCCAAGGAGGGGTCTCTATGAGTCCGGTCCGACTCCACGGCACATAACAACAACAACAACAATTTATTTTTGCAGTGTTCTCTCTCCTCCCCTCCTCTCTCACTCCTGGTAACCAACAAAGTTTCCTTCCACACATAAACCTCTCCTTGACTTTTTACAATAGTGAACTAATACAATATTTATCCTTCTGTGATTATTGCAGGCATTCCAGAATATGTCAGGATAGTTCATTCACTGAGATTTCCATTGTTTCTGAAACCCTTCCTTCCTTAAAGCAACCTGCTCATTTCTAAAAGCCAACAGTTTCTACAAAATGCTTGGGCACAAGCTGTACTGCCTGAAAAAAACTTTTAAACCTAATGACTAAACATTCAAATGTCCATTCTGGCAAGTAGCATTATTTCTCTCCTTAAACATTAAAGATATATTACCAAATACATAAATAGTCATGGCTGATCTTTCCTTGCATTATATTATTTATTTTAATGTTGTTGATTTACAGATTTTTACCTGTGGCAAAATGTTTTAACCCAACTATTTTATGTTTTATTTCTGGTGCCTTTTTCAATATTCAGGGGAGCTCTGGTGTCATAGTGCCTAAGGTATCTGACTGCTAACCAGAAGGCTGGCAGTTCAAACCCACCAGCCACTCCTCAGAAGGAAGACTGGGCAATCTACTTCCATAGAGATACCACCTCTTAAATCCAAGGAAGGGTCACGCTATGAGTTGAAATCGACTCAACAACAATGAATTTGGTTTGGTTTTGGTTTCAACATTTATTTAAAATTAATCCAGATTTTTCCAAAATAGGTTACAAAATTCTACAATAAAAGTATTTAGTTTCATGGTATTTGCTCTTAAGGATGAAATGTAGTCTACTGGAACAACCCTTTATTTCACAACTAAAAGTTAATTAGAAGAGAGGTCTTGAGATAAAGAGTCAATTTCCAACTTTAGGGGAATACATTATTTTGTGTATTAAGATAAAAACAAGATGTAAAACAGATGTTCTTGGATTATGAAATGCAGAAGGGAACATATTCAAAGAGCAGCTAGATTTTTATCTGTATTTATTTTAGGATAAGCCAGGCAAGCCTCACAATGTTGAAAGCAAAGCCTTATCATTGCTTACTTGATTTCAATCAGTGGAAATATTCATTGGTTTATAGTATCAGGTTTTCAGTGAGTACTATCATTTTTCTAATTGCCATGGTAGTATTAATAAATGTCTTTTTTTTATATGCTGAAATAAATTAACAGATGAGGCAGACACTATGCAAAATGACTGGGAGTGGGGCCAAATCTTTTTATATACATCCAGGGACCAATAATTTTCTAAATGGTACTTTAAGCTCTCTTGCCTAAATAATTATAAGTATACCAGCACATAATTTACTGAAATAATTATCCACTCTTCTAGTCCCCATTACCCATCTCAAGTCCATGGCCACTTACCTTGTCTTTATTTTCAGTGCCAGAAGCCTCAAGCTTGGTCCTAATCACAAATGGGGTGGATAATCGCAGCAGGACCCTTTCGAAGGTGGTATTAATCTTTGGGGAAACAACCTCAAAGCAGTCCTCAAACTTGAGCACTTTGTGAATGTCACACCGGAGCTGCTTCCTTAGGCCTTCCCCCAGCTGAAGGACTGACATGTTGGGGTCAAACATCAAGTGGAAAGGGAAGGCTCTGCAGAAGGTATTGATGCTAATTCTGAGGTCTGCAGGAACTTGGGATGTTCCCAGTGGAAGGTTCTTTGTGATATTAGTATTTTCACATTCTTTGATAAGGAAAGTAAGGCAATTACAATTGCCTGGGTTTGAACCATCCAAGCACAACTTCTCATTGGAAACCTGTTCTACTTCCACGTCCAGCCGATAGATCTTCTTTCCTGCAGCCTTAATCATCCCCAGCATTGCAAACCCCACAATATGGTGAGGATGGAAGTAGTGGAGCATGAGAGTACCATCAGGGAGCTCCTTGCATAGGAAAGATGGTGACTCCAGAGTGGCCTGTTTTCCGAAAGAAGTTCTAATGTGTTCCAACAAAGCATCAAAGCCATTAAAAAAGTCCTGCAACGTGCCGCCTACAGCTCGAAGGACTCTCTCATTCTCATCAAAGCATATATGAAAGAACTCCTCACCAAATCTTTCTTGAATTTCCTCAAACTTCAAACCTAGAGGTAAATGGGAAGCAAATGTTAGTAAGGTATTATAAAAATAATTGAATTTATAGTTCTTTTAATGCTTATCAAATGAAGTAGCTACTGAGTGAAACATTAGTGGTATCTCCCTCAGGCCCACAAATTTCCCAGATAAGTTAGTTCATTCATTTTGAATCAACAAAAGCATAATTCATCTTCTGGATGGGTCTGAGATGCTAATGAGTATGAACTTCTTAAATGCTACTAATCTAGTTATTTACTATTCTTTGCAATACCCTACTCCACTTGCTGTAATTACATCTCACAAAAAAATATCTTTTTTTTCTTAGTGATATCCTTCATCTTTATAAAATACCCAAGTTGCCTCTGCTTCTATATTGTATTCATCCATATAACAATCTTATTTATTATCACAATACATTAATTAACTGGAAAATATCAGCCAAAGAGGGAATCTGTGGTATATGGGTGAGGAAAGATATCAGGTTATCTAGTAGAAATGAAACAGTTTATATTAGTAATCTCAAATCATGCAGCTCGACCTCAGGGGGAGAGAGAGAGAGACAAAACAAAGAAAGAAAAATGGCAAAACTATGGAACGGTTTATATTTCTTTTACCCACATAGTGAGAATAGGCAAGAGTATAGAAGGATCTGACCAGATGGAGTTTAAAAAACCTTTATTACGTTTTCTTAGTACCTACTTAATACTAGATCGATGCCCTGGCAAAAAGAATTACATTGTGTGGTAAGGAGCTCTGGCGGTTCAGTGCCTAGGGCACTTGACTAATAACCAAAAGCTTGGTGGTTCAAATCTACCAGCCACTCCATGGAAGGAAGATGAGGCAATCTACTTCCATAAAGATTTACTACCTTGGAAATGCAATGGGGGTTGCTATGAGTCAGAATTGACTCAATGGCAATGGGTTTGGTTTAGGTTTTAGTGTGGTAATAGTATAATAAAGAAAAAAGTAGTACATTCAATGCATTAGTTGGCTATTAGAAGCAGAGTTACATGTAATCTGGTTAGATCCATCCATATGGATAATCTAAGGGAAAATATGGAAGAAATTTTTGGCCCAAAGAGGAAAAATACGACAGGTTTAAAAGATTGTGCCTCTTGGGTAAAGAATGCTTCCACATAGAGGCTCTGTTGCTTCTCCTCTGACTTTGAAATTAGTACATGTAGTTTGCATATGCATATTTTCTTGTCTAAATTCAATTCTGACTCATAATCACCCTGCAACACAGGGTAGAACTTCCTCATGGGATTCCAAGGCTGTAATCTTTGCAGAAGCAGACTGAAACAGCTTTCTTCCCCAGAGCAGCGACCTTCTGGTTAGCAGTTAAGTCCTTAACCAATGTGCCACCAGGCTCCTTTTTCTTTTCTGGTCTAAAAGGATGTCCTGAAAACTGGGAAAAAGCAGAAGGTCACTTTCCTCAGCTCTGTTAGCTTGCAGAGCAATCTAGGCTGTCAATAGCCTGGCTGGCTGTTCAAATCTTTATAATTCCCTTGAGAGCTTCCCCATCCAGAAATGGGGAAATAGGACACACAGTCGATACTATTACACAAAAATATAGTCAAAACATGTCAAATATTTTTTCAGAGTTAGAACTGAGAGCACAAATTGTGATAGCCAAGGTTAGAGGTCATTTTGACAAAGAAGTTCTTGAAACCAATGTGAAATGAAAATAAATGGAAAAACAAACTGAAAAAGAGTTATTTTTATTAAGAAGCATTTCACATTCATTTTTGTTTCATAGATTTGATTTCAAGGCAAACTGAGAACGTCACCTATTAAAATAAAACCATCACTGAAACAATTTCACATTGTAATTTTACAAAATTGTCCTTCAACATATGTTGCACTAATAATGATGCCAGCTAGAATTGGTAATAATCATATTTCTCTGTATACTCTCTAGTGTGGAAGAGAGAAAACAAGACAGATGATATTCTCTGTTCCAAACCATCATTCAGCTCCTGTTCCAAATGTTCCACTGAAACTCCTTTCACAATTACTTAAACTAGCATATATCCTTGTCTTGCTTAAACGTGTTTATTTATTTTTCCTTTAATTTGATGGCTAACCATTTCTTCCTTCTAAAACTGTCCTACCTTGATTTAGTAAAACCATACTCTCTTGGTTTGATTACTATCACTCTGAAATTTCATTCTCACTTTCTTCACTAAAACTCCTTTCTATGCCAAATCCTTACATCACCACAACAATATTGTAACTCAAAAAACAAAATTCTATCACATACAAATTAGCTTTATGTCCCTTCACTAGCAGCACTCTTTGTTGCTATTAAATTTTCTGGTTGTTGATTTCTCATTAAAACTAAATGAGAAAAATATAAATTCCTCAACTCCGACTATATCTACTGAATTCTAAAAACCCCATGTGTCACTGAAAATATTCCATGAATTGTTTCTGAACTTTGAAGAGTTGTAGCTTCAAATGACTTTAGGGGTTCAATGCATGGAAAAGAGACAGCATTGCTTCTAACTTGAATTTTTCATAACACTGAAAATGCTATCACAATCATTAAATAAAAAACACAGATACAAAGATAATATACAATAAGTTTGTATTCTACTTCCAAAGCTAGAATCATCCAAAAAATAACAAGTAAATAGACTCACAGGAGGCAACAAAATAAAAACTACTCTTTGTACATCAATCTAGCAACTAGAAATCCTTACTGCTTTAAAAAGCACTTCTGTACTTTAAGATACAAAAATTGTTCCTTCTTAAATGAAGAACCTAAGACCCACCAGGATGCTAAAGTGATATTTGTATTCCCGAAGAAAAGTTGAATTGTTTGGAAAATCATATTCAAGTATAATACATGATGATAATATAAAAACCACAATATTAAATTAATCAATAGAGATTTTTATTCCTATAATTGTTAAATTGCACAAGGAATGAAGGGGAAAAATATCCTTATAATTTAAAAAGTTAAAATTAGGGAAAGATCACTCCAACTTTGTGAATATGCTGTGAATCAATAGCCACGTTTGCCATTTTAAACCTTACATCAAAATTCAGAAAGCAAAGAGAAAGTAGTTCAGCTCAGAAAATTGATGCAGCTCTCACAACCCAAGGTCCCGCCTACGATTGACGCAAACCCCCCACTTGCAGTAAATCACTTGAAACATATAGACAATGCTCATCCTCATATCACAAAATGCTGTGACAGGTTGACATTTGGGTCTATAAGAATACGTTTCTTCAAGAGGCAAAATGCATTAGGAAAAGAAAAAATCTACCCTCATTAACGCCTAAGTTAAAAGTTAGAATATTAAATTACTGTTATTCACTTCTTCATAAAAAAAAGAATAGCCTAATTGTTGGCATCTTTTAGCTATATATGCAATAGAGTCTACTCATTCATGACATGGGTCTGTTGTCCCTCATCTGCTATCCATTGCACCTCAAATTGGGAACTTCTTGCAGACAAGGACTTTATCCTCTTTATATGTGCATACCTTTCACTACAAGAATACCTGGTATATAGAGACTCAGCATTCATTCATAGACACTAATGATCTAAGTAGTTTTTGTTGGATAAATAATACCCAGATTCTTAGGCTATGGTTGTGTCACATCTAAGGATACTGTGGTGGTTATGGTTGTGTGTCAACTGGGCTGGGCCTAGTTGAGTGGCTGGGCAGCTGGTGGTAGTTATTCCCCATGATGAGACTGGCAATCAACTCCATGGTGGGATCTACATAAGCAGCTGAATAGCTGCCTTTGAAATGTTGACTGCTTCCTGTTTGTAAGCAGCAGCTTTGGAAATGGTCTCCAGCTTATGGCACACTTGGACCCTGCATATAGCCGTGTCGTTGTTCAGCAGCCTGCCATGCTCTGCCGACCTGGGGACTTACAATGGACTTGAATTAATGGCCTGCCATGTGGTTTGGTAATATTAGGACTGTGCCTTTTTGCTTGTCAACCTTGGGCTTGGCAGCCTCAGCAGCCAGTAGCTGTCTGAGTGAGTAAAAAAGCCTCTAGCTTCAGTGGATTTGGAGCTTGGACTTGAACCCCAAGGCTGAGGGGTTTTCACCTTGCCCCTAGAGCCTGGCACTTTGAACTTGAACTTAAAGCCTCCAATTGTGAGAGAATAAACTCCTGTTTGTTAAGGCCATCCCATTTGTGGTATATTCCTGTCAGAGTGATACTAGGTAACCAGAACAGATACTAAGACAAAAAGTCACATCTTTTCCTTGCACTCTCACTCACCAAACCAAAAACAAACTCACTACCTTAGAACCAGATGCGACTCATAATGACCCTTCCCTGGGTTTCCGAGGTGGCATCTCTATGGAAGTACATTGCTCAATCTTTCTTCTGAGGAGTGGCTGAAGGGTTTGAACCGTCAGCCTTCTGGTTAGCAGTCAAATGCCTTAGGCACTACGCCACCAGGTGCTCAATAAATATTGACTGGACGGTGAATGAATTGATGCATCACTGAAGTCAGTATATAGGAACTGTAAGTAGTAGTCAATACTGCCAAGTGACACAGCAAGGTCAAGTAAGACAAGGGCAGAAAATGGTGTATTGGATTTGACAGGTTTTTGCAGACCTATGTTAGAGCAACTCGAGGCTTAAATTTTTTCTTCAGTTATTTCAGTTTGAGAAATGCTGAGCGTGTTCTTCC